CTACGAACCTCTAAAACTCAATCCGAACACGCCCTGAAGCCCGAAATCACCCAACGGAGCTAACAGAACCAACGTAATTCAATTCTGAGGTCATCTTCACACTGCTCCAACTATGGTCCAAATTCTAAAGGTTAAACTCTCATTTAGGGACTAAGTGTCCCAAAACACTCCGAAACCCAAAACGAACCATCCCAACAACTTACAATAGCAGAAACAAACACGGGGCATACAGTTAATAGGGGATCGGGGCGTAAATTCTTAAAACGACCGGTCGGCTAGTTACAGCTTGTCGCCTAAATTTTATCCTTTTAAACAACTTAGGAGAGTCTAGAACTGCCTTAATTAGAGGTCCTAAATACCTCCAAAGCCACAAGGAATGGATGGGTAATGCACGCATAGAGTACATTTAATTAGCATTGTTCCAAAATGTTGAAACAAGACTAAAATCGCGAACCCTTATTTTTAAATATCATGCCCAAGTTTTTCGCACATGCGACTGCATCTGCAGAATTCCTTCTGCTGACAAAGATCCGCTTCTATGGAAATAACTGACCATCCATCGCACCTGCGGTCCAAACATGCACCTGCTCCCCATAATTCGCTTATGCGACCATCTCAGGTGCGGGAACTTCATCGCACCTGCCCCTTATGTCCAGCTCCTCCAATCTCACATCTGCGATCTGTTGCTCGCTTTTGCCGGCTTGCACCTATGATGAGACATCCGCAGGTGCGATTATGACATCTGAGTTCAACTTCAACAACTTTCTAATCTCCAGACTTGTTCCGTAAATCACTCAAAATTAGCCCGAGGCCCTCGGGACCACAACCAATCATACTAACACGACCCATAATATCATACGAACTTAGTCGAACCTTGAAATCACTCAAAACAACATCAAAACACCAAATTAACCCCGGATTCATGCCTAAGAACCTATAAATTTCCGAATTCTTCAAATGATGCCAAAACCTACCAAACCATGTATGAATGACCTCAAATTTTTGCATACAAGTCAGAAATGACACCACAAACCTACTCTAACTTCCGAAAATCTAATCCTACCCCGATATCAAAATTTTCACTACCGGCCAGAATCGCCAAAATTCTAACTTTCGCCAATTAGAGTCTAATTCTACCATGGACCTCCAAATAACATTTCAGACGCGCTCCTAAGTCAAAATCACCTACCGGAGCTAAAGGAACCATCAAAATTCAAATTTGAAGTTCTTTATACATAAGTCAACATCCGGTCAACTTTCCCAACTTAAACCTTCTCACAAGAGACTAAGTGTCTCAACTCACTCCAAAATCACTCCAGACCCGAACCAACTAACCCGATAAGTCATAATACAGTCGTAGAACACAAAAGAACAGAAAAATAAGGAAACATGGCTACAACTCTCGAAACGACCGGCCGAGTCGTTACAAAAGTCATGCCTTCAGTTTCAATGAACAGATAGATCATTTAGTGAGGAAGATAGATAATCGCAAGGGTGGCTCTTTTCTGGTGGACGTTACACGATGTTTTAAAAGGCGTATTTTGGAGTATTTAATCTAAATTGTTTTAGTTTGTTCTATTTAGTTGAATAAAAATAAAAGGAAAATTTCAAAAATGGAGAAAATAGATGAACATAAATGCTGGTCTAGGAGGGTGCCAAATAACCTTTTGGGCCCTTGTTTTATATATTAATATAAATTATATATTATAAAGAGAAATTTTATTTGTTATTTTCTCAATCATTCAGTAAAATTTTTATATGATTCCTCATGATCAATTATCTAATACATTGATATCGGTTACCATTTCTTTTGTATTAATTAATTTAGCAAACTGTTTGACATGTACAAAGACTTTGATTATTTCCGGAAGCAGAACACGCACAACTATGTGGTATCTGACTTGCTGTCCACTTGAAGAGAGCGAGGTCGCGACAATCAACTTTATCACATGTTCCATTAGTCATGAAACTTCCGGGGCAAAACTTCAGGTCACCTGACACAAAGACATGAGAAGATTATATCTTAATCGATGCAAATGGAAAGATGGAACAAAATACATATTTGAACATATATTGAAGAATATATTTATACCTAGCGAAGGATCAAATAAAGCGAAAAATACTGCCATAGAGAGGAGGGAAAGCACAATGTAACTCTTCATGACTCTTGAATTTTGTATGATGTGAAGTATGAATTTGTTGTTATTGATATTCAGTAGTTAGTACACTTATATAGGCCTCGAAGGAATATATAAGATTACTATATTATTTCAAATAAGATTGATTATTTGGAAAGAAATTAAGTTACTTGATAAATACAAGGTTTCAAGTAACTACTTCAATTTCTCATTAAGTATTTACAAAATATCAATTAGAAGCATAAATTACAAGAACTTGAGAACTTGGAATATTATTCATACTATATTTCATTTATGTAATTTTTATCTTATTATTTACTTACAAATTATTGATGAATATCCTTTAACACATTTTAACAATATAGGTACTGATATGTTCACATTTTTCTTAGTTGATATTCTTAAGAATTGAAAAATAAACCATTGAACAAAGAGAGTAGTATGAAAAACCCAAATTTGATGGTGTGGTTGTTAGATACAATAATATTTTTATTTACTTAACTAGTTTCTCGACACGTGCGTTGTACGTGTATACCAGGTTTTGTAGTAAAATGATATTGTAAAATAGTATTAATATATTAAAATAAACTTCAAAAGGAAAAAAGTATAAGTTTTTATGAATGATCAATGTAGATCATCATGTGGTGGCCTGTTTGTCGAGGTAAAATTGATTGGATATCATCTAATTAAATTGATGAATATGAATAATTAAAGCTTAAATTTGGGGAGAAGGAGACGTCTTTTTAGTAGTATTTGTTGCTATATCGGTCACTATCATAATTTGTTGTTGTACACATCAAATGAGTGGTAACACCTTTTCTCACTTGGTTATCCATTGGCAAAATACCTTAATTAAAATACCCTTAAACTTGGCACGGATTATTGGTTACACGCTTGAACTATTTGTAGATTTTAATTACCTCCATGAACTTGATTATTCGATAGTTGTTACCCCCTTAAACAATCTCATCCTAGAAAAGTGGCATGCACTTGCCTGATACGTGATTTTTTCCTGGCCATGTGGCATTTTTTAACAATAAAATATATATTTACCTTTTTAAGTGTATTACATTTTTAGATAATATTTTTGAAATAAATGTTATAATAAAATTTGGCTAGAACTTCTTTATTTAAGCTAAAAAAATTATTTAGCTAACAATGATGAAGTTTTAGTTATTTTTGTTAGATTTGACATGAAAAAAAGAAGAAATACATGGTTAAAATAAATAGTTATGGCATCTAAAAAATATACCTAGCTTAAACTTTATTATTTTAGCTAAAAAAAATTATTTAGCTAAATATTATGGAGCTTGAAGTAAGTATATTTTTATAGATTTTGGCCGAAAAAGAAAATGCACAGTTAAAATAAAATAGTCATTGCATCCAAATAAGAAATAAAAAAAATACACAATTGTAAGTTTATTATTTTGGCAATGTAAAAAATAATGGAGATGTGGCCAAAATAATTACTGATTTGACTCAAAAATAAAAATCCAATAACCATTATATCTAAAGAAAAATAACAAGAAATACATAGTTAGTACTCTATTATTTTAGCTAGAAGTTATTTTCATAAAATAATGGAGTTCCGACTAAAAATTTCAAAAATTTGCCCGAAAATAAAAACTACGCAATTGGAACAAATAGACATTATATCCATAGAAGAAATTAAAAAGAATAAAAGCTAGGGTAAAGTACACATTTTTATATAAAAATGAAGCAAAACAATTACATGATTGTAACAAATAAATCATCACGGATGACTATGTTACAATTAACGGTTAAAAAATAAACCACTTGTAATTTATTTTTTCTATTTTTCTTCACTTTCACGCGCTTAAAAGATAATGTATCCATAGTCTTTATCACATCAACTTCCAAGGGGGTAATGGATATATCAAATAGTCAAGTTCATGAAGGTAATTGAGACCACGAGTGTAACTAATTAATAATCTGTGCCAATTTTAGTGTGGATTTAGAGTATTCCGCCTTATCCATTTTTGGTTTCCTATATCTGTTGTTCCCCACCTTGACAAGAGGGGTTGCTCTGATAGTAAGCAACCCCCACTCCCAACTAAGAGGTTGTGAGTAAGTCACCCCAAGAGCAAGGTGGGGAGTTCTTGGAGGGAAGGATGTCGATGGTCTATTTGAAAACAACCTTTCTACCCCAAGGTAGGGGTAAGGTCTGCGTACATACTACCCTCCCCAGACCCCACTAGTAGGATTATACCGGGTTGTTGTGGTTTTTGTTGTTATATCTGTTGTTGCACATTTATTGACGATAAAACTCAATGCAACGAAGTAATTTTTGAACAATATTATTTATTCTAGTATATACAAATTCATCTTGATCGTTTCCTTATTTTTAGATATTTTAATATCGCTTATAGTTGCAAATATTTCATGTGTAAAGTTTTTGCCTTGTTTTACAGTCGTATACATATCAAGAAGTTATTGCCAAAAAAATTATTATTTTTGTATAATAATTCGTTCATCATGTGTCTTCCTTAGAATGGCTAGCATATTATTGTAAATTTTATGATATATACTTATAAAGATAGAGATATAGTGATAGAAAAACGTAATAATTATATTATTTACTTTTCAACGACGATGCGATATATTTTTTCACATGTCATTCCTAATGATAATTTACTTTAGCACAAAAATAAATATAAATATTTTTGTGTCACGATCCGGATTTTTCACCCTTGGGGTTGTGATGGCGCCTACTAATAGGAGCTAGGCAAGCCAACTTAAATTACCTTCCGTTCAAGACATATTCCTTTCCATAATTATCAACATGTAATAAAGGCAACATAATTAAAAATTTCAAGCGGAAGTCTTAACTTATATAAAAGCTGAATAGAAATGCGGAAAGTTTAACATAATTCTCTACCCCAGATTGGTGTCACAATGCTCACGAACTTCTAAGATTTACTAAATACGATCGTCTGAAAGAAAATTATAAACTGTTTGTTTCGGTACAAAAGATAACAAACTGAATAAAGAGAGAGAGACTTCGGGCCTGCGGACGTCAGCAAGACTACCTCGGAGTCTCTGGACTGAAGTCAGCTCCCGATCAAATCCTACTGCTGAGGTCCAAAAGCTGCTCCTGGATCTGTGCAAAAAGATGCACAGAGTGTAGCATCAGCACAACCGACCCCATGTGCTGGTAAGTACCTGGCCTAACCCCGGCGAAGTAGTGACGAGGCTAGACAGGACCTACCAAAAACAACTTGTGCAGATATATGCAATAAAAAGAAATATACAGAATTTAAACAGCTAAGAGGGGGGAAAGCATGCTATGGGGAGCTAACAGTTTCAAATAGAAATCCTCAATAACAGAAAGAAATAACAAAGCCAGAATGTCAACAAGTATTAAAAGTCACAATATATACTGCATCACCCTTCGTGCTTTTACTCTCGTCCTCACCAAAACAATATATGGCATCACCCTTCGTGCTCTACGCTCTTCCTCACCCAAACAAAAATCACAAGGCAAATAGGGTAAGGGAATCTATAACCTCGAAGTAAATCAAATAACAACAAGTAATGAAAGAAACAACATAACTCGGATATCAACAAAGAATCAGAAAGCAACAAATGCACGACATCACCTTTCGTGCTTTTACTCTCGTCCTCACCAAAGCAATCATATAAATGAAATGTGCATGGCATCACCCTTCGTGCTTTTACTCTCTTTCCTCACCATATAATCAATAAAATTGGCACAGAATGGTACATCGTGCGGCACGACATCACCCTTCGTGTTTTACACTCTTTCCTCACAATAGCAAACAATGCACGG